TAGCTTTTATTAATTAAATTACTAAGGTTAAATACTAAAAGTTATTTAAATAAATTATATTATAAGAAGTTAATCACTAAAAAGCTATAAAAGTCTATTCTTAAGTATATCTAAGTTTATTCTATATATAAGTCCTAATCCTATTACTAAGTATTATCTTATATACTTTTTAAGTACTTATAAATAAGTAAGTTAAGTACTTTAATACTAATCTTTTAAGCGCTTATACTAAGCTTTTATCTTTTACTTAGTTCTTTATTATTATATAACTTATACTATAGTTTTTCTAGGTCTAAGGGGCTATCCTAGTCTAACCTATTATTAGTTCTATATAAATACTATACTACTTACTAGTTATCTTATCTAGTAAGGTAATATTACTTATAATATATTAGGTTATAATAAAATAGTAGGCTTAATTAAGGTAAAAGATATTATTATTAAGTATATAAGAAAAAATTAACTTACTAATTACTAATAAAGCCTAAATCTAAACTATAAAGTCTATAGGTATTTAACTAAAGGCACTAAAGTTATTTTACTATATAATAAAGTAATTTACTATTACCTAATAGATCTAGGACTATATAGAGGAGAAATCTTTAGCCTTATTACTAAATAAAGCCTAGGTAATAAGGATATTATAACTTAGTAAAGAAAGTGTTAAATAACTTAAATATAATAAGAAGGTCTATAATAGAGAATACTAGGAGTATAAAAGTAATAGGAAAAGAGTTAAAGATTTAGTAATATAGATCTAATTAACTATAGACTTTATAGCTATAGTAATTTATAGTAATAACATAGACTAAGTAAAAAAGAAACTAGTATATAGACCTTATAAAGGATATATCTTATGTAAAGTTACTAATATACCTAAGTGCCCCTTATATAGCCTTATAGGCTATAAGCTTATAAAGTATTACTTTATAATTAAAGTATAGCTAAGATTTACTTAAAGGCTATAATAAAAGGTAGTTTACTATATATATAAATTATAAAATAACTAATATATAAAGAAGAAGCTTAAAGAGGAGAATATACTAGCTACTACTATATAAAAGAAATTAAAGGAAATAGATATAGTAAAGAAGGCTAAAGAATAGCCTAATAAAGAAGTAAAGTAATAACTATTAATAATATAAATAAGAAAAGGGGTATTATTTATATAGTTAGTAGTATTTATAGTAGGTATATATCTACTTAAAGACTATATTATCTTTAATTTAGGAGTAATACTATATGTTTTCTATTTATACTATTATCTTACCTATATATTACTAGTAAAACTAGAGGACTTTATTTAGGCTAATAAGATAATAATACTAATTATAGGATAAGGTAATACTATTATTAAGGTAAAAGTAAATAACTATAATATAACTATTATATTATATAATATTACTTATTACTTATTACTTATTACTTATTACTTATTACTTTTTTATAACCTAGTATTATATATACTACTTAAGTTATATAATAATTAGTAGCAAAATAATAGCCTATCTAATAACTATATTTATAAGGTAAATACCTACTTCTTAGTATTTAATATATATAAGTTTATAGGCTAATAAGTTATAAAGTAAGTTAATTTAAAAAGTAAAGGACTATATATATACTATAGTAACTAGTAATAAAGTAAAGCTAGACTTTTACTAATATATAAGCCTAGTAAAAGTAAACTATTAATATAACTACCTTAGTTACCCTAAAAGGTATATACTTTACTAAATAATAATAAAGTCTAAAAAAGTATAAATCTATAGTAATATAATTAAGATACTTACTTACTAGTATAAAGTCTATATAATAAGTAAGATAAATTAGTAAATATTTTACTAACTTTAAGAAGTAATTAACTATATAGAAGTTAATAACTAAATTATATTAGATTTTTACTTATTTAAATAAGGCTATAGTAAATATAAGTTAGCTTTACTACTAACTAATAATAAGTCTAGACTTATATAAGATTATTACTTATAATAATATACTACTAATAATATTAAGTAAGCTTTTTTTAACACTATTAAGATGATTAAGGTATATAAATTTACTAAAGTATTAGTAATAGAATATAATAATAAGGTTATAACTACTTACTTATAGGTAAAGGAGGCTATAGAAAATCTAGGAATCCTATTTAAATAATTAGTGCCTAACACCTAGGTATAAAATAGAAGTACTAAGTAAATTACTATAGTAATTAAGAAAAAAGTAATAGTAATATAGTTATATACTAAACTACTATAATATTTATAGCTAAAGATTCTTAGATCTATAGTATATCTATATAATTATATACTTTTAGAGGTATAAAAGTAGTACTTACTATATAAAATATAGTATACTACTAAAAGGTAACTATTACTACTATATATTAGCTACTTATAAGTATTTAAATACTAGGTATATATAATAACTAGTAAAGTATAACTCTACTATAACTACTTATAATAATTTAAAGTAAAAGTATATATTAGTTACTTTATTAAATATATATTTACTAACTAATACTATATATATATACTACTAAAGAATATAGTAGTTACTTTATATAATATAATTGTTAATAAAGATAGTTACTTTAGTAGTAATAAGAATAAATAAGTAAATAAATTAAGTAATATAGATAAATCTACTATTAATAAATTAATTATAAAAGCTAAAACCTAAAGTTTTAAAGATATTACTAATAGTAAAAATCTTATAGAAACTACTATAGATAAAGCTAAAGTCTAACTATTAAGTAAATCTAAAGAGAATAACTATAAATATATAAAGTTATACTTTATATTAATTACTTTACTAAAGTTACCTAATATATTATTTACTATATAATTACTAGGTGTACTTAATATAAGAAGGTATAATATAGATAAAGTCTATTATATTAACTATATATTATAATATTATTATATTAATAACTATTCTTATAAGAATTATAGAAGGCTACCTTTATAGTAAGATTATTACCTTTATAATAATATATAAATTATTTCTTAAGGTAAATTAAGTTACTTAATAAGTCTATAGGCTAGCCCCCTTAGAGTGTTAAGTATATAAATTAATTAGTAAAAGAGGTAACCCTAGAAAGCTTTAATAATAAAGCAAAGATATAACTAAAGGAAAGTTATTATAAAAATAATTTAACTAGTAGTAGTTATTTATATATTTATATATTTATATATAGGACTTACCTAAGCTACCTAAACTATACACTAACTTATATAACTACTTATTTACTAGTAAATCTTATAAGGCTAAAGAGAATTACTTATAAAGTTATAAGGTAATAAGTAGCTAGTATAAATAAAAAAGATTAGGTAGATAAGAGAAGAGATAGGGAAATTAGTAGATAGAAGGATATATATATGTTTATTATTCTTAGAAGACTTAGAGAATAAAACTACTTCTAGTGGTTTCTTCTCTTCTATATATTATAAATAACACTTACTAGATCCTTCTATAATAGTATATATTAACCCTATATTATATATATATTAACCCTTTATAATAGTTATAGTTATATAGTTATTAGTAGTTCTAAAACCTTTAGCTTATTATAGATTTACTAAATCTAGTTTTACTTGTTTTACCTAAGTTAGGTAACCTTATTTAAAGTACCCTAGGCTATATTATATTTAGAGAGTTTAAAAAGAATATAAAATATAATATAATATAAAAATATAATATAAATATAATATAATATAATACAAATACAATATATATATTTATATTATATTATATAAGAAAGACAATATATATATTTATATTTATATTATATTATATTTATATTATATTTTATATAATATATAACTATATAATATAAAGAATAAAGATAATTAAAAATTAGTAAATTAATTATATATAGTACTATTAACCTTCTTTTATAGTATAGTATTATTTATATATTTTATTTAAAATATAGTATACTTAAAAACTAAGATTTAGTAAAGTTTATTAAGTATTATTTATAAGTATTTACTACTATATAAGTAATAAAGATAAAATAACTATATATTACTTAAAGTATAATATATTAATATACTATAACTATACTAAAGTTACTATTAATAACTAACTATATAATAACTAACTATATAATAACCAACTATATAATAACTAACTATATAATAACTAACTATATAATAACTAATAATATAATAAATAGCTTTTAATACCTAACTATATAATAAATAGCTTTTAATACCTAGCTATATAATAACTAACTATATAATAAATAGCTTTTAATACCTAACTATATAATAAATAACTTTTAATATCTAACTATATAATGACTAACTATATAATAACTAACTATATAATAACTAACTATATAATAAATAGCTTTTAATAGCTAACTATATAATAAATAACTTTTAATAACTAACTATATAATAACTAACTATATAATAACTAACTATATAATAAATAGCTTTTAATACCTAACTATATAATAAGTTAATAACTAACTATATAATAAATAGCTTTTAATACCTAACTATATAATAACTAACTATATAATGAATAGCTTTTAATACCTAACTATATAATAACTAACTATATAATAAATAGCTTTTAATAGCTAACTATATAATAACTAACTATATAATAAATAGCTCTTAATACCTAGAATCCTCTTTTATCTCTTCTACTTCTTTAAAATCTTCTATTTCTTTATCTTTTACTTCTTCTTCTATAATACTCCCTTCTTCTTTAAATAAGTATTTAAAGTCTATATTAAATAAACTACTATATATCTTAGGTATATAAAAAGAGCTATCTAAGCCCTCTAAATTACTAGATTATTACTAGCCTTTTAAAAGTATTAATTTATTTCTAGTATTATTTATTAAATTAGTTCTTCTTTTAGCAATAATATTACTAGACTAGTTAAAACTACTTTCTACTGTAGTAGAAGTAGGAGGTATAGCTAAGTATTTTCTTGCTAATATAGATAAAATAGGAAATTTCTCTATATTATTATTCTACTACTCTAAAGGATTTACCTAAATAATAGTTAGTATATACTATATAATATTATATTAAATTATTTTAAAAATAGTATAGTTATAGTTTATAAATAAATCTTTTATAGTTTTTAAAACTAGTTAAATATATTAAAAGTCTTAATTACTTTGTTTTCTATAAGGGATAAAGAATAATAATTTTCTAATTTATTTTCTCTTATTTTAGCTACTTATTACTTACTTTATATAAGGTAAAAATCCTTAAATTCCTTAGGCTTAGGCTTAGGAATAGGTATTTTTAATTTATTTTTACCTATAGGTCCTTCTCTAGGCTTAAATAAATCTATAGTAAATCTATCTCCTTTTTTACTAGTACTACTAGTAGGAAGATTAGAAGAAGAATTAAAGTTATAGTTATTATCCTTAATTTTAATAGTGTTATATAAACTAGGAATATATAACTCTTCTTTATTCTTTTTTTCTAGATCTTTAATAATCTTTTATTTTAGCCTAAAATATAGAAATAATAAATTAGTATATTATAACTATAAGTATATTAAAGATAAATATAGTAACTAGAAGTATATTGATATAGTTATTATAGTTAAGTTACTTAGTTATTATATTCTTCTTTAAGATCTTCTTTTACTTTTACCTTTAGCTAAGAAGGTAAATAAGCCTTTAAATAAGTATTATTAAAAAACTATTATATATTCTACTTAGGTTCTAAAATAGAACCTAAAATATAAGGCTTAAATTTAGGACAATTAGCATATATAATAGGTAAAGAAAAATAAGTATTAAGCTTATTTTTTCTTTTTTCTATAGCATCTATAAAGTGCTTAGCATAAGGGTCTTATAGTTTATTACTCTATAAAATATATTAGTAAGTTTAGTAAAATTAAGTTAATATTTAATAATTATCTTTAATAATAAACTTAAAGATATTTATAGTAGTTTATTATATTAATATAAAAGATTAATAACTTACTAAGTCTCCTACTATAGGCTTTTACTATTCTTTATAGTAATTTAACTCCCTTTCTAAAGTTAAATTAATATTAGTAACCTAAAATAATAGCTTATCTATAGTAGTAAAGGTTTAAGATTACATCTATATAGTAGGGGTATAAAAAGCTTCTAATAAATCCTTAATATACTATAGTTATAACTAGTTTCTTAGAATTATAGCTTTAAATATAGGGTTTTTAGTACTAGACCCTAGGGTAATTAAGGCTAGCTTTAATTCTAGAGTAGTACTAATTATTATATATATAGAATTCTATCTAGTATTATTACTTATTAAATTATTAGTTTATATATAAGTATAATAATATTAATATAATTTATAACTTATTTTATAAACTTATAAAGAGGTATTTTAGTTTTATTATAGTTATAAGGTATAGTAGGATCTTTAAGCTCTTTATTATACTTAATAGCTTATAAAAATTATTTATATAAGCTAGTATTATTTTTAAGTAATATAGCTATTCTTTTAATAGCGCCTATAATACCTAATATTATAGAAATAATAATTAGTATTTATTACATTATTACTATTATTAATAAGTTATTATTAAAAAAGTAATAGACTTACTAGTATTTATCTTTAAGACTTTTTCTTTTTCTGTAGTATTTAATTCTTTAATTTCTCTATTATAATCGTTAATAATAGTAATATTCTTAAACTATTTAATAATAGTATCTTTAGTAGAAGTATTAATAAAAGTATTAACAATATCTTTAGTAATAATATTAAATATATATATAGTATACCTAATATTAAATATATTATTATTATAAGATAACTTATAATTATTAATAATATTAGATAGAAAGGTATTATTATTATAGCTATTATCTCTAGTAAAGCTATAATAAGTTAGTTACTAGTTTATTATTTATATATAATTTAATAATCTAATACTTACTTTATAACTCTACTAAAAGGAATATTATAACTGTCTATAATATTAGACTTAAATACTTTACTAAGATATACACTAGTATATACACTATCTAGAGCCTTAAAGCCTATTCATATTATTAGTATATATACTCTTTATATAATATATTAGTAATTAAATAATAAAAAGTTAAATACCTAGGATTTTATAGTCTAATATAAAGTTACTATTAATAAAGGTACCTATAACGCCTAAGTAGCTCTTAGAGTCTATAGAAGTCTATATATCTAGTTGTAAAGATATATAACTATAGTTTTTAAAGTAATTACTTAAGTAAAATAATATAGTATCTTTAGTAGTATTAAATAAAGTATTAATACTACTTATTACTTTACTATAGTATAACTTAGGACTATTACTATAATATAATAAATATAGTTAGTTAAATACTATTATAAGCTATAGAATATTATTTTTAAAAATTAACTTATAGATTAAAATATTCTAATAAATTATTAAAGTTATTAGAAGTAATAATATAAAAAGGTAAGTTATTATTAATTAAAAACTTAATATAGTTAATAACTACTGTCTCTAGTTTAAAAATAGTATTTAAAAGCCAAGGTCTTTTAAAGTTACTATTTATAGAGGTATTACTTATAAAGTTATTGATATTTACTTAACTTATTCTATTATTTCTACTATTAATCTTATTTTTAACTATAGAGAGTTAAAGAGTTAGTTAATATCTTTAAAAGAATAATACCTAATAAATAAAAGAATATATATATATATATATATATATATAACTTACTAGATATTTTAGAAGGATCTCCTTCTTCTTCTTTAATAATAATTATATTAGGATGTTTTTGTTTATAATGTACTTAGCCTTAGCTAGCTTAAAATCTTTTAGCCTTAGTTTTAAAGCTAAAGTTATAGTTAAGTATATTATATTTATATATAATTTCCCTAGGTCTACTATAGTTAATAGTACTTAAATTATAAGTAAATACTTATTTACTATAATATAAGAATTAGTAGGCTTAATAGTATAAGTAAGACTATTCTCTAATGTGTCTATATATTGATTTTTTTTTCCTTTTATTTTATTAGTTAAAGAGTTTCTATAACTTAAGAAAAGCTTTACTATCTATTATATTAGAAGAGCTCTTGTAAAAATATAAGAATTATTATATACTACTATTTCTTTTAGATATATTTAATAATAAAATATAAAATATAGTTTTATAGGTTTTAATAAGTTATTTTAAAGCAATAGTTATAATATAATATAGTAAGTAGTCTTTCTTAAGGTTATATTTATATAGTATATAATAGGTAATATAGTATATAGTGTTATAAGTTAAGTAAAATATAGTTAATAGTAAAGATAAAATAAAGAATTAGAAGAGAAAAAACATAGTATATATAGTTATTTTATTATAATTATTTACTATATAATAAAGTATATAACTAATAAAGTATAACTATAAGATATAACTATAAGATAAAACTATAACTATAACTATAAATATAACTATAAAGTATAACTATAAATTATAACTATAAACTATAATTATAAAGTATAAGTATAAAGTATAACTATAAACTATAGGTAAAAACTATAACTTATAAACTATTACTTATAGTCTATAAGTATAAAGTATAACTATAAACTATAATCTATAAGATATAATTATAAACTATAATTATTAAGTATAACTATAAAGTATACCTATAAAGTATAACTATAAACTATATAAATAAACTTATAAGTATATATATTATTAGTATAGTATATAAATATAGAGTTTATAGCTCTTTAAAGATACTTATAATTTAAAATTATAAGTTACTTATTAGATTATTTATATTATAAATTAGTTATATAAGAGCTTCTTAAGTATTAATATTATATACTCTATATAACTTTTAGACTTTTTTCTAGGGTACTTCTTTTTAGATTATTTACTTTTACTTAACTAATCTTTTACTTATATATAATATAGTATAGTATTATTAATATCTTTTTAAGTATTATATAACTACTTACTATAACTATAAGACCTTTTCTAGGGTACTTTGTTTAGAATATTTACTTTTACTTAATTAACTTTTTACTTATATAGTATAGTATTCTTAATATCTTTTTAAGTATAACATAACTATTTACTATAGGTATAAGACCTTTTCTAGGGTACTTATTTTAGAATATTTACTTTTACTTAATTAACTTTTTACTTATATAGTATAGTATTCTTAATATCTTTTTAAGTATAATATAACTATTTACTATAAGTATAAGACCTTTTCTAGGGTACTTTTTCTTAAGATATTTACTTTTCTTTTACTAACCTTTTACTTATATAGTATAATATTCTTAATATCTTTTTAAGTATTATATAACTACTTACTATAACTATAAGACCTTTTCTAGGGTACTTTTCTTTTAAAAATATCTACTTTTTCTAAACTAGCTTATTATTTATATAAAGTAATATTCTTAATATTCTTTTAATTATTATATAACTACTTACTATAACTATAAGACCTTTTTAAGGTAATTTCTTAACTTATACTACTTACTTATAACTATTTAATTAGATAATAAGTTTAAATATTTAAGTAAAATATTTAAGAAAAATATATAGTATATATATCTATATACTAACTATATACTAGGCCTATTTTCTAGAACACTTTCCTCTTTTCTGCTTAAACTAACGTATATAGGATGCATAAGACCTCTTAGACTTATAAGAAGTCTTATAAAAAGAACAAGTATACTTCTTTAATACCCCCTATAATAACTAATTAATATATATATATATAAATACTATAATAATTATTACTTACTAACTAAGGTATAAAAGAGGGCTAAAAGCTTTCTTCTAGAGCTGGAAGCTAGGTAGAAGGGGTTAAAGTATCTTCTTAGGGGGTAAAAGAAGATAGAATATCTTCTAGATACTCTATAAATTCAGGAAAAAGGTCGATAGGGGCAAGAGTAGTATTATTAGAAAGCTCTTAAGAAGAAGAATCTAGTAGTACCTCTTTAGGAGAGATATACCTATAAGGGGCTTTAGAAAGACCTTAAGGAAAGTGCTAAGCTATTATTTAAATAATAACTTATTAAGTAGTAAGGTCTATTGCTAGTAAACTAGCTAAAGAAGTAAAAGAATCTATTATATCTAATATATAGAAAAAGGTATAATTTCTTATTCTAAGAACTATCTAAAATAAAAGGAGGATTTAAGGAGTATATATAGATATTCTTCTTCTTCTTCTTCTTCTTTTTTCCTTAGAATTCTTAGAAATAAAAGGGGATAAATATTTACCCTTAGCCTAGTTAAAAAACCTGATTTTTTCTAGTTCTAATGCAGGTCTTTATATATTACTACCTTATATATATAGTAAGGTAGAAGTCTATAAGTAAAAAGAAAGTATAAAAACAAAAGTAAGGTAAAAGTATATAAGTAAGAAGAAAGTATAAAAATAATAGTAAGGTAGAAGTATATAAGTAAGAAAAAAGTATAAAAACACTAGGATTTTATAAGCCTTTCTTATTTAAGTAAGTAACTTATTAGCCTTACTAATTACTACTTTAGGAAATATATAAGTTTTATAATAATTATAAGATTTTAAGTTTTTTATCTTTTTTTTAAAAGATAATATATATAATATAAGGTTAAAGTTAATATATATAGTAATACTAAAATAATAATTATATTTTAGTAAAGTATAGTACTTTTTTATATTAAGACTTATATTCTTTATTTACTTTAAATATCTTATAATATAATAGTTTAAATATTTATATATTATAATATACTTTATATAGCTTATAACTATATAGTATAGTTATAAGCTATATAATTCTATAAGGTTATAAGTTATAAGTTATAAAAGAATTAAGTAAAAGTAGTTTATAGTAGTATAGTATATATAATAATACTATATAATAATACTTAGTAAAGTATTTTTAAAGTATAAATATCTTAATATCTATATTCTTAAGATTTATATCTTTTTATTTTTTTAATATCTTATTATATTATTAAGTATTACCTTATTATCTATAGATTATATTTATTAGTTATTATTCTAATTATAGTCCTTTATAAATAACCTTTTTCTTAAGCTATATTATATTTATTATTAATAAAATACTAAATATATTCTTTATAGTAAGTACTTTAATATTTAAGAAGAATATAATTAGTTTATTTCTTTTAGCTAACTTTACTTACTTAGATAAAATCCTCTTTACCTCTTAGTATATTTTATTATTAGAAATACCTAGACTTTAATAATAAAGTTAACTACTATAATACCTTAAATCTTATAGTAAATAATAATACTAGTAGTAGTGTTATAGATATACTTAACTTAATAGAAGATTCTAGTAGTTATATTTCTTTTATTTATAATATATTATTAGAAGACTTAGAAAAAGAAGAAACTAAACAACAATATTAATAAGACTAATAAAATATTAATACTTTAGAGATATTTAATTCTTATACTATACTATATAATATTATAATATAAGATAAAGATAGTATTATAAGTAATTCTTTAAAGCTACTATTATTTAAAGTATTTAATAATAAAATAATCAGTATTACTAATAATACTTATAAGGAATTAAAAGTAAGTAACTTATTAGTTTTTAAAATTATATATAATTAAAGATAAATTATAACTTATACTAATATATTATATAATAGAATCTTATTAGTAATACTATAGAGTATAGTATTAGTTATAATTATTATAACTAGGAAGAAAGTAGTATAAATAGTGTTTTAAATTATAATATTAAAGAAGTAAAAGAATACTATATTACTAATATTATTCTAAATACTTTTTATAGTAATAATATTAGAAATCTTAGTATTAATAACTAAGTAACTAAGAGTAAATAATAATATAACTACTTTTCAATATATATAATATATAGGAATTAATATATAGGCATAAGGAATTAATACATAGTTATAAGTCTTACATAGGCATAAGGTTTCTATTCCTCTAATTAGTTTAAAAAAAAAGTATATCTTTACAAAGGCAGTAAAGGCAATTACACTAACACTGCTATTCTACTATTATTTTTTACTATTAACTAATTTATCTATATAGCTATAGGAAATAGGCTCTATAAGGGGGTTCTTTTTATAGCTATAGGAAATAGCCTCTATAAAAAGCGCTATCTTTATAGCTATAAAAACAGCCCCCTTATTAAGCCTACTTCCTATAGCTATAAAGGTTACCTCTTTTACTAGGCCTACTTCCTATAGCTATAAAAAGAGCCCCTCTATTAAGCCTACTTCCTATAGCTATAAAGGTTACCCCTCTTGCTAGGCCTACTTCCTATAGCTATAAAGGTTACCCTTTTTACTAGGCCTACTTTCTATAGCTATAAAGGTTAGCCCTTTTACTACACCTATTTCCTATTTACCCTAAGAAAAATAACCTTTTTTATATTTAAAATACCTACTACCTAGCTACTTTTTTATAATATAGCTATAAAAATTTATTATTACTACTAACTATTTTTTACTAACTTTATATCCTTTAAACACTAGGCTAAAGTAGCTATCTATTTATATAATTCCTTATTATCCTTTTACTACTAAGAACACTAGACTAGCTTCTTATTTATTACTAAGATAAGGTTAAAATCTAGCTTTAACTTAGTTAACTTCCCTCTTATATAAACCTAGCTAGTGTTAACTTATTTCTACTTCTAGGTAGGTAACTTTACTTTTTACTCCCTATGCTTTAGCTTTTACTAGGGGTATAGGTTTAGCTAGTTAAGTAGCCCTCTTCTAGTAAAAATAGTTATAATAAAATAAGCTATACTATATTTTTTAGCCTACTATAGAAGAATACTATAATCTTTAGATTAAGGATCTAGTAGTATAAATTAAAAAAAGATGTCTTTTAAAGACACTACTAGGGGTATACTTTTTACTTACTAAAAGCTACTAAATTAAGTATCTTAGTAAAGATCTTATAGTAGTATAAGATACTAAGCTTAGTTAAAATAGTATAGTCTAGACTATATTCTCTAATAAGGTCTAAGAATAGTCTTTTACTAAAAAGTATTACTTTTTTTACTAGCTAGTATTACTTTTTAATTAACGCTAAACACTTTAAGAAAAACAGTATATAAAGTTTACTAAAGAGCTTAAAGTAAAGACCTATATACTCCTAGTGTTAAAGGACTTTATCTTCTATATATACTTACCTAAAGTATAGCTCTTAGTTACTAATTATATTTTATATAATATTAATAAGTTAATATAAGTAACTAAGACTATTTAAGAGATAACCTTTAATATTATTATTACTTAATTCTATACTAGAGGTAATATAAACACTAAAGTTCTAGTATTTTTAAATAAAGTAGTAAGCCTACTATACCCTTAAAGGTAAGTATATTATATATAAGTACTAGAGGATTAGGCGTTAGTTAATAAACTCTTTATAAAGCTTAGTCTAAGCTTCTTTAAAGGTATACTTAGTCTTAGTAAAAATAATAAGCTTTTATATTATTAAGACCTTATAATATATATAAGGGGAGGCTTATTTACTAGTGTAGTAACATAGGCCTAGTCCTTATTACTAAGCTAGGCTATTACTTATATTATTAGCTAATAGGCCTTATTATTAGACCTACTACTATTACTACTATAGGTGTAGTCCTTAAGCTACTTCTACTTAGCCTTAAGTATAATATTAAAATTAATATAGTAAATATAAAGTTATTACTAGACGCTAAGGAACTACTTATTTAGTATAGCCTTTATCTATCTATTATAGTCTATAATAATAATAGTAAGGTAATAGACTAAGTATTAGTCTATAAGTTAGTAGATACTTACTAAAAGAAACTAGAAACCCTTTAGCCTTTTATTATTAATAAGGCTAAATATAGTGTTATAAATAGACCTAAGGTAGGTCTATCTAGTAGCCTAGAAGAGTAGAAGTTTAAAGTAATTAGTGTTATAGGTATTATTAAAACTAATTACTTTAGAGAATTACTTTTATATTTAAAGATAGTAAAAAAAGGTCTAGACAAGGCTAACAAGTTAGTCTAGCTTATCCTTTGCCTACTTTATTATATATAAGATATCTTGCTTATTAAATAGCTTAAGTAAAGCTATAATAAGTAAATACTTATCTAGCTTCTCTTAGTTTATATAAGCTTTAGCGTTATAGATATCTTACTAAGTAAATAAGGAATCTAGGAACTACTCTTAAATAATAGTATATATATTATATACTTAGATACTAACTTATTAGCTTATTATATTAATAGTATTTATTATAGGCTAAGTTACTTTATAATAAAAAGGATATATAGATACCCTAAGGATAAGACTATAGTTATACTAACTATACTAAGAGTCTAAATAATAATATAATAGCTATTACCCCTCTTAAAGAGCTTCTATAATTACCTACTATTTATAGCTATTCTTTTAGGACTTACGCTATTAAATACTAGTACCCTCTATAGGCCTAGGCTTACTAAACTAATTATATTAGATAGTATATTATATAACTTAGCTATAACGCTAATATTTATACTACTTTATAATACTAAATCTATTAGCCTTTATAAAGGTATTAACTTAATTAAAAAAGGCGTTAAAGGTTTATTCTAGATTACTAGGAATTAGTAGATTTAGGATTTTACTTATAAGAGAAGAGAAGAATCTATTACTTTAGGTA